CCCGGGGTGGGAAAGAGGAGGGCGGGAGGGGGTGTGGGGATGTGGGTTGGCAGGACCTGAGGACTCAAAGGGGAGCTCAACCCTGGGTGGGGCACTAGAGCTAAACCCATGGCCAGGAGGAGCACTGGGGCAGGAGTCCTGGCGCTGGAGCCAGGGCCCCAGAGGGCAACTCAGCTGCCTTCCGCTGAAGGAACAGCCCCTCCAGGAGCTCCGCTCCCACCCCTTGCCTCTGCCCCTGGGGTGTGTACACAGGGAGGTGGGGCCTGGGTTGGCAAAGGACAGACCCCATGCAGGACAACAGGCTGTGTTGCTCCCGTGGACCACTCACCCCTGCTAACCCCGGGTCCCAGTGGTCTGGAGTGCAGCCAGCCCCTCCTGCTCTCCCCAGGAAAGCTTGGTTCTGTGCAAGCCTCTCCCATCCTTCACCTCTGGGAACCCCACCCTAGGCCCTGAGAGCCACAGGGAGTCAACTAGATGAGCCAACTTCATGGGGTCGCCTAGAAATCAGAGGCCAGCCTCACTCAGAGTGTGGGGGCCGCACAGCCTCAACCCTCACGCACGCTTGGCCCCCACCCCCTCAGCCCCCAGCAGCACCTAGCTGCATGAAGTCCTTTTCCCAGCACGGGAGGGGGGCCCCAGCTTCCCCAGCTCCCCAGTGACTCACTCAGTCTGATCTCCCATCCCCCACACATTCTGCAGCTTCATGGGCCCCTAGGCTCCCAGCAGCTCACCCCTCCCCAACCCACACCCTCACAGGGGAATCTGGTCCCTCTGCCTCTGCAAAGGACCCCCAGGCTCCTTCATGCCCTCCCCTCTGGTCCAGATGCATCAGGGGCTGCTGCCCAACTCTCCGCTGCTCCTCCCTCTCGTGGGTGCCCTCATGTCCTCTGCAGTCATAGTGGGGAAATCCCAGCTGTAAGAGGGTGGGGTGGGGAGTGGATTAGGCCAGGCATCTGTGCAGATGGAACCATGTCCATTGAGGCACCTGTGACACTCAGAACAACCATAGGCCACTCACCACATCCCAGACCAATGCCCCTTTCAGGCCAGCTGATCCCTGGGTGGGCCTGTGCCCAAGAGAAGAGCCTCTTTGGGGAGGGCCACACAACCCCAACTCCCTGTGCCTCCCAACACCCACCTTCCCCACAGCCAAGGCCAGTACCTGCTCCCAACACCCACCTTCCCCACAGCCAAGGCCAGTACCTGCTCCCAACCCCCGCCTTCCCCACAGCCACGGCCAGCCCCTGCTCCCAACCCCCGCCTTCCCCACAGCCAAGGCCAGTCCCTGCTCCCAACACCCACCTTCCCCACAGCCAAGGCCAGTACCTGCTCCTGGATAGTCTGGGAAAGGAGACCCCTGAGTGCCCAACTCTTCTGGCCCTCCCTCCTAGAACAGGCCTGGAGGCAGTGTGGGCAGGTGCGGGATGGAGAGGCAGAGACAAGCCGGGCTCCGGGCCCTCTTTATGCAGCTGGGCCTCTCCCTGGCGGGAGGTGGGGAGGAAGAGGGGGTAGTCAGGGTTCCTGGGGAAATGACCCCGCTTCCTTACATCTGTGTGCACGGCCCACCTCAGAGCTACACATAATGCAATGCAAACACAGACACACACTCACGTTCACTCAGACACACACACACGCATACAGGTGTACAACTATCCTCACAGACAACATGCACTCTCACATGAGTACACATATAAAAAAATACCCCGTGTACGCACATTCAAACACTCAGACATGTGCATACAGGTGTACAATGAGCTCACAGATATGCACACTCAAGTGTGCACACACTTATAAACACTCATGCACACAGTCACCACACACACATACAAATACTCAGACACATGTGTATGCAGATATGCACACTCCCATGTGCACATACACTCGTGCGTGTGCAGACTCAGTGTAGGCCAGTCCCTTCAGGACCACCTTCTCCCTCACTCTGCCTCAGGCAGAGATTCACAGGGGATCCCTCAGGCCTGAGACTGGCTGTTATTCATGACAACCTCTGCTCTTCCAGGACCTGTTCCACCCTGACCTGACACATCACAGGAGGCTAAGGCCCACACCACCGCCCAGGAACCAGAAAGGGATGGCAGAACAGCCCCCACTTCTTTTCTCTCTCCCAAGACATGGGGGGAGTCTCAGGGTGCAGACAGACCTGACTTGTGCTTTGGGGGTCAGTATTAACAACTGGTTCTCTGGGGAAACCCTTTATGTCTTATTTGGCAATCCCTGTGGTGGAAATACTCCCCTCACACCCATGACCAACTCATGAGATGTGGCAGGGGGATCTTGAGACCAGTTCTAGCTTGGCACAGGTCAGACCCTGCCCTGGGGGGTAAGGGATGATGCAGTCAGGGCCACAGAGACCGGATGTATAGAGAAGAAGAGGGCAGATAAGAGATGAGAGTGGTCAGTTGAAGGGCCATCCTGAGCAGTAGGAGGGGAAGGAGTGAACCTCTCTGTTCCCCCAGTGCCATGGGGATCTCAGACAGCCTTCGGGCAGGGGTAGAGGCTCTGGCTCTTCAGACCAGGTGCACGTCCATGTGCTCATACATGTGTGTGCAGGACCTGTGTCACACATGCAGTCGGTGGTCATTCCACAGTCGGGGGCTGGGATTGCTCAGCTCTAGCCTGGAGGACCCCTGCCCAGGTCTTAGTGACATGCACAGGAGTCCTCAAATCCATACCTTCAGCTGGTGCTGCCTCCTGACCTGGCACATGGATCCAGAGGACCAGTCCCAGCACTTTAGGAAATTTGCCTGGAGCATCTGGTGGTGCCAGAGTAAGGAAGTGCTAGCACGAGCCCCCCACCAACACCCCCCACCACATACACACTGCAGAGGGGTATGGCAAAGCAATACAGTAATTCATGGAAGGAGCTCCCCATGGGTGTCCGAAACCAGATCAATTTGGGCAATAGAGTGGATAAAGTAGTAATATAGGTTGAGTTATAGATTATTACCAAGGTATAAAATAAACGAGTCCCTACTGATACAAATTATTGAATAAATAACTAAATGGGGAAAAGGAAATTCTAAATAGATTTTGCAGCCACTGTACCCTCTAGAAGGGGAGTCCAACCCCCCATTCCTCAAGGGCAACTGCCCAGAGTGCACAACAGAAAGGGAGAGCACAACCTGTAAATGTCACCGCAGGTGGGGACCAGAACCCACCTGCAGTGAAGGGCCAGGTTGAGAGCATGGGCCTTGCAATGGTGTGAGAAGGGCCTGCCCTTGATGCCACCCCCCCAAAACCTCAGCCCAGGCGACCATGAGACAACAGGAGACAAGTTCCAGGAGGGGCTCCTACATCATACCCAACCATCAACTCAGCCAAGGGCATCAGGCAAGGGGCTCTGAGGGACCAAGGGGACCCAAGATATGCATGCCCAGTGGGGCCCTGGGGACAGAGAAGTGAGGACCACATGCCTCATGGGAGTAACCGGGAACATCAAAGGTCATGGGAGCCCTAGCCGATTTGGCTCAGTGGATAGAGTGCTGGCCTGCAGACCAAAGGGTCCTGGGTTCGATTCCAGTCAGGTCAAGGGCACATACCTTGGTTGCAGGCTCCTCCTGGCCCGGGTCCCGGTCAGGGCTCATGCTTGAGGCAACCAATCGATGTGTTTTTCTCACATCGATATTTCTCTCTGTCTTTCTCTTCCACTCTCCCTTAAAAAAAAAATCAATGGAAAAACATTCTCAGGTGAGGATTAATCAAAAATAATAATAAAAAGGTCATGGGGAACATGGGAAAGCACTGGTGTGGGAAAGTAGAATGTTTGCCTGTGCACTGAAGGGTCACAAGTTTGATTCCCAGTCAAGGGCACATACCTGGGTTGCAGGCTCGAGCCCCCACTCTAGTCTGGACTTGTGTGGGAAGCGACCAATCAATGTGTCTCTCTCACACTGATGTTTCTCTCTCCCTCCCTCCCTCTCTCTTCCCTCCTTCCCTCCCCGTCTTCCCTCTCTCTAAAAAAAAATCAATGGAAAAAATATCCTCAGGTGAGGATTAACAAAAAAAAAAATTAAATTAAAACATTTTATTTTTAAAAATATATTTTATTGATTTTTTACAGAGAGGAAGGGAGAGGGATAGAGAGTTAGAAACATCGATGAGAAACATCAATCAGCTGCCTCCTGCACATCCCCTACTGGGGATTTGCCCGCAACCAAGGTGCCTGCCCTTGACCGGAATCGAACCTGGGACCCTTCCGCCCACAAGCTGATGCTTTATCCACTGAGCCAAACCAGGTAGGGCAAATTAAAACATTTCAAAAAGGTCATAGGAAACATGGGGAAATCTGAGGGAAGTGTGGGCTATAGTTTTGATTGTCCCATGGGGAATGGGCGTGGGGGCGTCACATGGACTTCTTGGTCTTTACAACTTCTTTATAAACCGCAACAATAGTTACCGCCCTATCACTCTGAGCCCCTTCTCCCATCTTTTCTCCCTACGTGGCATATATTTGTCTGTCTGGAGGCTGCAAGTTTGGAGTATGGACTTTGGCTGGTGACCTGTTCTGGGCTGCAGTGGGGCTATCAGTGCTGCTGGGAGGCTGCGGCCAGCAAGGGCCCAGCTGGGCCAGCAGGAAGGGGGGTTACTGGCCCTTCAGGGATCCAGACCCTGGGGGTTTGCAGGGACCTTTGTTCACAGGGAATCTCACCCAAAACTCTTTATCAGAGCAAGTGTAGATAAGAACTGCTCAGAGATCCAAGATGAGGTTTGTGTGTGTGTGTGTGTGTTTGGGGGGGTGACAGGGGGAGCAAAAAGAACCTGGGTCTGGGAGGTGGCAGATCTTGAATGGTCAGCAAGGGTGTTGGGAGCGTTGACTGCTGGGCCAATGTGAGCACAAACAGGGGTTCCCCATGACGGCTGGCTGGTCATCCCCACCAAGAGCCCGGAGGGAGGTGCCTGACTGTGGGCTTTAGGATGGCCTATCCTGAGACAGCTGGCTTACTACCCTCAGACCAGACCTGGAGCGTGGCCTCTGCAGTGGTGGGCAGCTGAGCTCCTCCTGCTTCAATTACCCCCACCCCAGATCTGAACAAAGGTTCTAGGAGGTGGGGGTGGGGAGGCAGGGCTAAGAGCCAGGACAGCCTACCGCCATCCTGTAGTGCAGCAGGCCATGGCCTGGTCAGCAATTTCCTTCCCATCCCTGGCCACACTTCCTCCCAGCACCCCGTAGGGCCATGCGGGTGGGACTTTCCTCTGCTGAGGTGGGGCTGTGGGCAGGACCCCAGTGCTCAGCTCGCCATGTGGCAGGGGAACCCTGCCCTTGGAACCTTCGGGCAGTGGAATGAGGAGTCTCAGGCAGCACTTTCCCCTCCATGAGGACATAGGGACCCTGCATGCACCTACCACTGATAGCCTTCATCCACAGGTGAGCACCCATGAATACCTCAAGATGGCTCTGCCCTGTGAGCCTGAGGCCTTAGCTGGAGCCCAGAGCTGGCTCCCACCTGTCCACCCACTGAGGGGACCTGGGGGGCACAGGCCTGGTGCTGCATGCCCACCTCCCAAACTTAGCTCTTCTCCCAGGTCTCCCCTTGTCAGCTCTATGGTGATCCCATGGGGTTCAGTCTTTCCAGGTCCCTCCCCAGGACACTTAATTCCCATCCTGGAGGTCCCAGTTGTATTTTGCCTAGACTTCCTGGGCAGCCAGGAACCCAAACCCCAGGCCTGGGGACCCTCTACCATAACTGCACAGCAGCTCCTATGCACACCAAAGTCTACCCCCAACACCCACCCCCATCCCTACCCGCAGCAGCCTAAGGAGGGTTGCAGGCCCTGACAGATTGGGTCCCAGGGAGCCTGGGATCTCAGCCAAAGCCCTCATCCTCCCAGGGCCTTCAGGGCTGGCCTCTGAACTCTGACTCACACGTGTGCACACTCCCTCCACACCAGGAGGGAGAGGTGCCCTCACCATGCTCAGCAAATGCAGAGAGGTGAAGAGATACCTAGTTCTGGGGAGAGGGGGTACATCCCAGGGCTATGAGGTGCAGGTAGGAACCGGAGGGGGCAGAGACCCCATTGAGGACCCAGGAGCCCCTCTTAGGTGCAGTTGGAACTGGGAAGTGAGGGAGTTCCTCCTGAAAGGGTGGAGGTGTGGTGGGCGTGGGCCTGGGGAGTAAGTCATGGTGGCACAGCCCAAACAGCTCCAGCAGCCTGGCCTTTGGCCCTCCCCCCCACCCCCAGGGGCTGGCCCAGGTTAGAATGCAAAGCCCCTCACCCACCCCTGCAGGGTGCCCACACTCTCCACTCCTAACCCCCTCACCGCCACCTCTCAAACTGCCCTCGGTAAAGCCACCGCAGCCAGCACACTGCCACCTTTCTCAACGCAGAACATGGGTCACCTTTTCTCTGCATTCCCCAACCCCTACCATGTCTACCTGGTCCCCCACAGCCCAGCACACCACAGGCCCTGAGCAGCAGCCCTGACCACTCCTGGACCAGCTGCTGCCCCTTGCCAAGCCCTCTGCCAACTCCTGCTCACCATCCGTGTCTGGCAAAGACAACTCATCATTTCTGTGGCATATTGGGGGCACCTCCTGGAGGACATGCGCCTGTTCTACTCTGTTGGTCCCCCAGGCCCAGACCTGAGGACCTGGGACCGAAAAAGACTTCAGGAAAGTCCGTCCCAGGCCATGAAGAGGCTGGCTGGTGCCAGGTCAGGTGTGGAGGGCAGGGATGTGTACCCATCCTGGCTTGACTGCCCACATATAAGGGTGGGGCTCCCAGATTTCCCCCAGGCCTCCACAGCCTGAGGCTCCAGCCTCTGGACACACTGCAGCTGCCAGTCCCGCACAGCTTAAGGGTTCCCAGCTGCTGGGGGAGGTTCTGGGCACACACTCCTCTCCCTGCGGACCAGCTGGCCTGAGCAGCCTCCACCCTCAGGTCTTGCGATCCCAGAAGACCCTGCTGGCAGGATCTCCCTGGGCAGTGGGCTTGAGACAGATCCCCCAGAATGAAGGGACACCTGGCCAGGCCCAGCACCTGTGACCTCCTGGGGAATGCCATTTCAGGAGAGGCTAGACCAGGCCTGAAACCCTGGTCCAGAGGGGAGGGTGACACTGCTCAGCCCCAAAGGACACCCCACAGCTGGTCCCCTAGACAGCACCCTACCTTTTTCAGGCCAGAAAATGCAAGTCCTCTGAGCCCTTCCACCTGCTGGCTGGTCAGACACTGGCCTCCAAGGGTGTACACCCGGCAGAATCCCTGCCCGATCCAGGGCCACCTCTCACCACCAAGCACAATGCAGGGGGGAGGGCCTTCAAGGGCCCTATTGTTCCCCCGAAGGCCCCGGGTCTGAATCCCTGATTGTCCCTAGAATTGTATGGGGCCAAGAGAAGGAAGGGCCTCCCCCAGGCTGGGTGACAGTGCATTGGGAGGCAGCCAGCCTTACCTGCCCAGCACCCCTCTGTCCACTGTCCCATGTTCAGGCCCAACTCCTGCCAGGCCTTCTCTGTGTATCTGAGGGTATGGACAATGCCCAGCCTCCCCTACTTTTTCTGCCTCCTCCAGGTCTGTGTCCACTGTTTGTCTTGGTCCCACTGCAAGAATATGGCCTAGGCATGGACCACTATACCACAGGCCACAGCTGCCCTGACCCGACATGAGTGGCAAAGGAGGTGTCTTCTCAGCCTTCAGGGAGCCTGTAACCTCAACAGAGGCCCCCAGGTGTCCTTCCAGAGCTGAACTCTCCCAGACCATCAGGCCAACTGGGCTCAGTAGACTGAGGGAGTGTATGACACAGAGGCCTCCAGGACGCAGGGATCCAGCCCTTGTAGTCTCAGACCCCATCACCACCCCCACCTGGTTCAGGGACCAGGAGGGTAGCTGGGGCAGGATGAGCCCCCGGGGCCTTCTCCTCCCAGCCTCATTGCCTTGGGGAGACAGTGGGAGAGATGTGTACTCCCTGCCTCAGGGCAGAAAACAGCCCAGCCTTGGGGGACCCCTTAGTGCCCCTGTGCAGGGCACCCCTGCTGGTCTCCGAGGTGTGGAGCTGGGGCATGTGGAGAGCCTGGGGAAGTAGTGTGAAATCGGGGAGCAACCCCACTGGCCGCTAGCCCAGAGTAGCCGATATGGGGTAGAACCTGCTGCAAGCAGCCTGTTAGAGCTGGGTGTTTAGGAGGGGGGCTGCCGGAGTGGGGGTCCAGCATGAAGGATTCTGGGCCAGGGCGGCAATCCATGGACTCAAGGACACTCTAACCAGCAGCTCTTTATTAGGATGCGGGCCCAGATCCCACAGGAGAGTGGGACTGATCAGGGGCACCCAGAAAGAGGCTGGCAGAGCCAACCTTGTCAGGGGCACCCTGGCCACCAGGGTGGGTGCAGGGTCCTGTCCAGGGAGGACACAGCCGTTGGCATCCTCAGGAGCAGCCAGTCCCTTGGGCCTTCTTGATTTCCTGCAGGAGAGAAAGAGGGGCTTGCCCTGGATCCCAAGTCCGCTGTCCCAAGCCCTTTCCTGCACAGAGATCTATCCCTTGCCCCTGGCAGAGCCCACCTCCGAGAGTGCCTCCTTCAGGCTCCAGTAGGCCTTGTCCAGGTTGTCGTTGACAATGATCAGGTCAAACAGACCGGGTTCCTTGCCTGAGAAGGGGGGAGAGGGGGTACAGGGCCCGTGGAGGATCAGTGAGGGGAGGGGGCTGTGGGTGACAGCTCTTGCCCCTGCCTCCCACCTCTGGCAGATGAGTCGCCTGCTATTGGGGAGGGTGGGGGACACTGGCTGCACCCACACTCACTGCTTTCCATGTCTGCCTGCGCAGTGGCCAACCGTTTGGCCAGGCTCTCCTCTGTCTCCGTGTTCCGCTGCCGCAACCTCTGTTCCTGAGGTGCCTAAGGAGGGTCAGAGCCTGCAGGGCAGCCTTAGCCCCTCCTCCACCCCTCCCGCGCCTGGCTCCCCACCCCCACCAGGACTTCCAGCGAGGGTGGCTGCACAAAGATGTAGATGGGCCTCAGGTCGGTCTTCTTTAAGTTCCGCACACCCTGGAGGTCCACGTCCAGCACGCAGATCCGGTTCATGGCCTGCACCACTCGTACAGCCGCTTTGCTGGGAGGCAGGAGGGGAGGGGCCATTCAGCAGGGATCCTTGGGTCCCAGCACCCAGACCATCTCCACTGCCATTCCCTGGGGTTCAGCCTCCCCCATTCCCTGCTCTGGGAGCCTGAAGGGGCCATCAGCATCTGCTCCCCTTTCCGGAAGCACTCCCTCAGTAACCCTTTCACACCGGGCCATCTGCTAGGCTGGGGGCAGCAGTGGGGAGGGGCAGGAAGTCCCTGGCTGTCACCACTGGGCTCAGGGCTCCCAGGTGCCCACCATCTAAGGGTAGTAGCAGCCCCAGTGACCCCTGTTGGGGGCCAACTGCCCCTGCCAGCTGCACCTGGGGTGGAGCATGGCGGTCACAGGGGGACTCAGGTACAGGCTGCACATAGCAAGCCTGGACCCGCCTCTGCAATGATACTGCTCTGGATGTGTGGGAGGTGGACAGCTGTTGCTGGGCTGGGGACTCTCCCAGGCTGCCCTAATTGTTGGAGGGAAGAGGAGGGGGGCTGAAGTGCAGCCCACAGAACTCTGAGACCCAGGTTCTCTGAGTCTTCACTGCACACCAGCCCATCACTGGCTCCCCGTTCCCACAGGGGCCTGGCCAGGTGGGGTGGAGAGGGGACAGGAGGGGGCAGCCTAGACAGCTCAGGCTTCTCTTCGATCTTGATCCCTGGAAGGGCTGGGTCCCTCACCCTGACAGCCCATAGGGAGAAGCCCTTGCCTGGGCTGCCCACTCCAAGTTCCCAGGAGGTTTGGAGGTTGCTGAATGTGACTCACCTAGTCCCATACAGGTTCCCCGAGAACTCGGCATGCTCGATGAAGTCCCCGGCAGCAATGTCCCGCTGCATCACCTCCCTGGTCACAAAGTAGTAATCTACAAAGAGCAGGAGCTGTTGAAGCTGTCCACAGCCAGGCCACATCTGCCCATGCAACCACATGAGCAGAACCAGCTTCTGTTCTGGGCCTGTCTGCCCATCTGTCCATCCACTCCTAGAGTGTTCCAGTCACTGGGCAGGGAGATATCTGAGGAAGAGACAGACACCACCTCTCACACCGTCCTCACTGAAGGGACCTGGAGAACGCCAGCTTCTACAGGAGAGGTTGGGGACCTGGAGACTGCTGGTTTCTGGAGGGAGTTTTGGGGGGGGGTCCTGGTGACTACCAACTTCAGGGGGGAGGTTGAGGAACTTCAATGCTCTGCCTCAGGAAGGTACAAACACCCTAGTAAGGTTGTGATGTCAGAGAACCCTGAAGGGTGTGCATGGCTGACCCCAGCTATACTGCCATGTGTAATGCAGTGCACAAGCAGGGATCAGTGCCCCACAACTGCCTGGTGTTGGGATCAGAGCCCTGCCGTGGACAGCTGGTGTCAGCATGAGATTTGATGCCTATTAAACTAGGCCTTGGTGTTGGGATCAGAGCCCTGCCGTGGACAGCTGGTGTCAGCATGAGATTTGATGCCTATTATCCAGCTGGGCCTGCCCACCCACCCACCCTGAAGGGCCCCCATCAGATGGGGAGAATGAGGCCTCATGCATCACCCTGACAAGTGTGTGTGTGTGGCCTCCAGACCTGTACTGGGGCACTGAATAGCAGGGCCAGCTTACCTTTGCCATTCTCCTCTCCAGGCCTCGGGTCCCTCGTGGTGTCTAGGAACAAGCATCTGTGACCCATCTGGAACATCACATCCAGAGCCCACACAACCCATCCCAGGGCCTTCCCAAAGGGCCCAGTTCAGCCTATGTGGGGGACTTCAGGGGGGGTCAGTGTATGGGCAAATCCCCTGTGTGAGAGAGGGTTCTTGGGGGTGTTAGCAGTGTGGGCAAGTCCCTATATATGTGGATCAGCAGGGCCCCACAAACACCCTAGGATCTCACGGGACACGCTGAATCCGAAGATGCTGCCATGCTCCTGCAGAAGTCTCTTGAGCAGGGTGCTCTTTCCGGCCCCAGAAGGTCCACTCAGGACAACAGGCCTTGGTCCTGACATCCCTGTGGGTGAGTGGGAGCAGATATCAGCAGGCCTGAGGGACCCCAGTGAGTGGGATGGAGTGGGATGGCTGCAGTCACAACCCCCCTGCCCCCTCCCCCCCATTGCCCCAGCCAACTCTCCCCAGGAATCAGGGCTGAGGGCCATACTCAAGCCTTGGCTGCACCTCCCAGATGGGTGGGCTACCTGGTACCACAAACACATGACCTTCCCAGCTGTGCACTCCTACCCCACCTGTGGAGCCTGGACTTCCCCTCCTGGGAGAGGCACATCTCGGTCCCCACCCCGGCATTTCCTAGGCACCATGCCCTAGAGGTGGCTGAGGTTAACATCAGCAGAACACAAACCCTGTTCTGGGAACTTCCATCAGGAAGTGAGGGGCTGATCCAGAGGGACTACAGCTTCCTGACCTCCCCTCCTCTCTGATACTCGACCCTCCCAGCCAACAGCACAGGGCTCAGACATCTGCCACAGATGAGTGTGGGTGAAGCAGGGGTTTAGGAGGCATCAACCCTGACAGCTCTGTGCCCGCCTGACACCTCAAGCCCCTCCCCAGAACAGGACCTACTTCCTGGGTGGGCTAGGCCATCTCTGTCAGCCAGCGTGCTCGGAATGAGCTGGGAGGAGTGGGTAATCCCAGCCTGCTCTGACCTCTTAGCACTAAACTCCTCCCAGGACAATCAGCCCTGCCCACTCGGTGCCTTTGGGAAGAGGAGGCTGCTCCCGGCCCTTCAGTAGTGGCCTACCCACCCAGCCACATAAGCCTAATGGCAGAATGCCAGGTGCAAGTGTGCCCTGCCTCAGAGGGAAACCCTGATGGACATGTGGGAACTGGAACAGCTCCCTATGCAGGCCTGGCCCTGCAGGCTGTCTGGGGGCCCTCTGATAAGGTGTGGAAGCCTCCAAGGTGCAATTAGTGGCCAGCAGACTGGCAATTAGGCCCAGGAGGGAAGGGCCACTTGGCTCAGGGATGCCCTGTTGCCCATCCCCAGCAGGACCCCCATTGGGCACTGCCTTCCTAATCCACAATGTAGGCCAACTGGGTAATCTGGCTTAAGCACTGCTATTCTGGGGCTATCACACCACACAGGTTTCCTGGAGAAGGTGGCAAACAGACACAGGAGGAAGGACCCAGAGGAGCCCATCAACACTCTATCATCTCCAAGTGACTGACTCTTATCTCCTTGGTCTCTTGCTCTGCTTCACGAAGGTACAAACACCATTACAAAAAGTACCGTTTCTATCTAGAGATAATCCCAGTGGACTCCTAGATTCTCATGGGCATCCCAGCTTTCCGACCCAAATACGTGCTACATACACACCTGCACACACGTGCGCTGGCTCTGAGCTCATGGCCATTAGCCACTGCAGCCCTGTCTCTCCCTTGAGGCCTGGTGCACAAGAGGTCTCTCCCGCTCTGGCAACCTTCACAAAGCCCAGTCCTTTGCAGGAAGAATGTCCCATTGGCAGCCCAGCCTACTCCCCTGGATCTGTCCTGACTTCCTAGCACTGGGTGACTGGGGAGGGGAGTGGAGGGAGAGACCCAGCAAGGCAGTGGAGAGGCTGGGTGCCACCAGGTCCCGTGAGGGACTGAGGACTGGGGTCTGACCCCCACAATGCCAGCCTCTGGGCAGTGCTGGGTCTTTGCCTCTAGGGCTGGGCAGCTGAAGTTGTCCAGTGGCCTAGAACTCTTGGACCTGTGGCTGTGTTTGGTGCTACAGGAACATTAGTTCTTCCAGGGCAGGAGCAGCCCCAAGTGGACACATGGTGATGGCCACAGCCATGGACCAGGAGGCCTGCCGGAGCTGTGATCATAGTGGCAAGCCCTCAACCCAGTGGGCACTCATCCCCAGCACACAATTTGGGGAGTCTACCTCTAGGGAGAAGAGGACCCAAAGGCACCCCTACCCTCCTGTTAGGGACTTGGGAGGTGCCCCTCAGGGGGGTTGGGAGCAGAGAAGGGAGAGAGGCCCATCTGCCTGTTTGCACAGAAGCCCCTCAGGGACGCTCTGTTTTCTGTCATGTGTCTGCCATGGGAGAGTGCCCTACCTCATACCCCCACAACTCTGGGGGGCACCCTCCAGCCCCCAACTGTAACCTGGTCAGCAAGACCCAGGGCTTTCTCCAACATGCTTCCCCAGCAGTTGCTGCATTCCCCACGCCTGCAGTAAGGCCACACCTCCTGACTGTGAGTTCTGACACCTGGAGACTGCAAACCTGCACAGGACTAGCCTTCAGTTAGGACCAAACATCACACACCAAATCCCAGTGCTGACACCCCCACAGGGCATGTGGCACAAGTCCTGCTTATCACCTCACATCCAAACACTGGTTTCTATCCTGCGCCCTCCACCCTGTGGTGGGACACTGGGTAGGGGAGCCTGTCCCACTGAGCAGCACTCCCAGGCTCACTACCTACCTGCACTGGGCCAGCAGTGAGCAGGGGATGTATCAGCACAGGACTGGCTGGCAGCTGCAAAGCTCACTCCCTGCCTGATTCTGAATCACTGCATCCCTCAGCCTCTCCTGAGCCTCCACCTCCATCAAGTCCAAGCTCCACGTGCCCCAGTGCAGCCATTACCTGCCCCACTCTGTAGTCTCATGGTGGTGGAGTCCAGCCTGCTCACCCTGGCTAAGGGCATGTGTGCTGAGTCTTACCCCGAGGGGCCCATACAAACCACACAGGGATGGCCTGGGCCTGCACAAGTGCCCAGAGAGCCGCGGGGGGACAGGGCTCTGTCCAGTAAGCACGCAACAGAGCACTCAGTAAAGCCACCTTCCACAGAGCACCCAGCATGGGACAGTGCTTTGGCCTTGAGTACACAGAGATTGACTTTGGCCCCAGTGCCTGCAGAACCAACCAACTGAAACGTGTAAGTCAGAGGAGTCATCTCTTGGGCATAGAGCCCTCTGGCTGGGGTATTCTGTTTCTCCATTTCTTGACTATCCCACAATCCCAAACCCTAGTGGCCTGGCAAGAAACGGCAAAGCTCACAGGACTGCAATAAAAACCCAGATGCAAGCATGTGCATTCCGGAATGCTCTCCGACAGAACCCTGCCCAAGAAGCACCCAATGCAGCCAGGCAGCCTTCTTCCCGAAGCACAAGGTGGAACCTCCTCTTCCCAGCTTCCACTTTCATCCCGCTCTGTCCCAAGAGCAGGACACTGTCACCACCCCCCTCTCCTCCCACGCCTCCACAAGACACCCAAGAAAAGGCATGGCCTCTGAGAACAAGGAGAGGAAAGGTCAAGCCCTGCCAGCCCTCGTGTAAGCTACAAGCCACAAGACGGGAAAGAATCTGGCTCAGGACAGCAGGTCATGGCCCTCCCCCCAAAGAGACACATCCTGGCCAAGTAGCCTTGACAAACCACTCAGCCTTTGGGAACTTGGCTTGAAATGGGGTAGCCACAAAGCACCAGCCATTACTCCTCACTTCTCCCCACAATGGGGCTGGAACTATTCCTCTCATAAAAGAAAGCTGGCCCCTCAAAAGCATGAGCAAGAGCCACACTGTCCGTGCAGGACATGGGCCTGTATCGGTGCTGCATGGCATGTCCGGGTCTCTTTCCATAAAGAAGAACCAGGATTCAGTCTTGTACCAAATCCCAATTCTGCACCACAGACAGAGGGCAGAGGAGGCACAAGAGGGGAAGGGTCCCAGGCAAGCAAGCTACAAAGCAGGAAGGGCAGAGGCACTACGGAATCAGCCTTGCTCTCAGAGAAGAAACTGAGACCCTCAAGTGCAGAGTCAGCAGGGACTGGGGGAGACAGAGGCCTGGCACACGGAGGCAGCAAGGACTTGGAGCTGACTACAGAAGTACCGGCCCCCATTCCAGTGCTCCCAGGGGCTCACCCTCATAACTAACTTTCACTGTTGGTGGGCTGGAGTCACCTCTTTCCACCCCAAACACATCACAATACCCTCTTCATTTCTGCTCTTCCTCAGATCAACTGAACATGTTTTTCAGGCTATGGTGAACATGCTACTAAGAAACCTGAAATTTACAGTTTAGGTGTAAAATAAATTTTTTTTGGTGTGGCTGAATAGAAAAGTAGTGACTGCACTGCTATAACTCCCGGAATCTGCTACTCAAGAAAATAACTGAGCCCTGGCCGGTTTTGCTTAGTGGATAGAGCATCAATCAGTCTGCAGACTGAAGGGTCCCGGGTTTGATTCTGGTCAAGGGCACATGCCCAGGTTGCTGGCCTGATCCCCAGTAGGGGGCATGTAGGAGGCAGTCAATCAATGATTCTCTCTCATCTTTGACATTTCTATCTCCCTCCTTCTCCCTTCCTCTCTGAAAGCAATAAAAAATATTTTTTTAAAAAGAACAATTGTAAACCTACTTAAAAAAAAAAAAGGAAAGGAAATAACTGATATCACTCATACCAGTCAAAGATCAAGGGCCAGGTCTCGGTGAACCCAGAATCTAAACAAAGTCCTAGCACACTACACCTGTCACAGGTGTGGCCCTGACCTGGGCATAAGCGAGTTTGGTGTTGCAGGCAGTTGTGTGGCATTCTATGAGCAGGGATAGAGTGGAAACTCACATAGCAGGAAATTAAGCTTGTTAGTGGTAAGACAGGAAACCCCACCCCTCCCAGGTCCCTCCTAGGAGTGAAGAGAGAGGGTTTCCTGCATTCTTCACAGCAAGTCATGGTCTGGGAAATCTAAGAGTGACAAAAAGTCCAGAAAAGCCTGCAGGCAAGCTGCCTAGGGCACTCACAAGAGGCCAAGTCCCGGTTCCTCTTCCTGTCTCTGTGGGCCCCACCCATACAGGCCAGCTGTCAGCTCAGCTCACTGCTTCCCTTTTCCCAAGTGAAAGACCACAGTGATAACAGGTGAGGTGACAGGCCTCATTGCTCCTCCCCAAACCAGCACCTTCCCTCTCTGTTCCCAAAAGAATGTCTACGAACAGCAGATGGGCAGCTCCAGCAATCTAGACTTGAGGTCTCTGGGACTGAGAAGCCGAACATCCGATTACCACGTCCAAGTCAGGAATGCCTGCCCAAGAACCTGCTCTAGGTGGTGTCTCTGTATCTGCACTGCCCAGCAGCCTTGGGGCAGGCCAGGACCCTGCAGTCCTGGGGGCCCCGCGAGCTGGGAGGGGCGGTGGGGACGATCCCATACCAGGTTCCTCAGGCGGCCACGCAGTGGCCTTTGACCCCCCGGGGTTTCCGGCTCTGTGGTGCGCCCACCTTGGGGGGGAGTGTCAGACTGCTTCCCCTCTCTGCCCCTCCGCGTCCTTCAGGGTCCGCAATGGCATCCGCAAGAAGTCCTCGGGCTGCAGGGGTTTTACAAGCTGTCTGGAGCTTTCCGTGCCAGGAGAATTTCCTCCTACGTTTTGAGAACTGGCACAGAGGAACCAGCTTTTAATGTGTCTAAGAAATGCGGCCACCAAAAGCAACTTTAACACCCAGACTCACAGGACACAAGTTCAAAACGAAGGGCGACCCTAAATGAAGTCAATTCACCTCCATGAAAGACCGCATTACCCAGTCCTCGTGTCCCCGGCTTCGCTCGCTAGGACTCCGCGACAAGCCAGCCCTGCAAGCTA